TTCTTTTACAAGTAAGACAAATCCAGTTGCTAAACAATCGGACTGTAGTAATATTGTGAAGACAATGAATTGGTGAAGGGATTTGGGGTACGGTACAATGGAAAGGTGTAAACGCGGCCCCGTTCATTATTGATATGGGAACAATGGTGGCCGATCACCTTGTTCTATCCAACCCCTTCTACTGGCAATGTAATGAACCTAATGGAAACTAATAGTGGCCTCTGCCAAAAACCCGTCTCGACCTCGAGCCTCCTTTATTAGTACGGCTATTGTATTCGATTCAAAGAGGAAAACAACTTATATTCAATACGGAGCCAGGCGGTAATTTATCGCCGTACGACCCTCGTCCCTTTTACCTCTATGCACTCAATAAAATCCATGAATGAATCTGAATTCCGCCGAAATGGTAACCTTTGTATGTCAGGTACATTCTTAGGCTCGTAGCCAAATGTTAAGAAATATCAGATTACGTTGTCCCGACTTGCAACTATGTATTAATCTTAAAATAATATTCAATTGTGTTTTTTTTAAATATAGACTGAACTTAATTTGACAAGACGCATTATTTTCGTGTGTAGTATTTAGTACTCAACTGACTCAAACAATATCTAATCGACAACAGAAATTCATTGGGTTAATTGCTCGGAAGGTTTGGGCGGAACAGGATGGTACTACATGTATTGTTGATTGTATTACTAATTGTATATGGTTGTTACGTGTGATCCATGTTTTTTGTTAAATTGATTGTAAAGCTGAAATACGGGTACTCACTCGTCCTACTATCAAATGAACGGTATGTACACATAAGAATTAGGGAAACCATATATATTATACTGTATATAATGTATATATATATATATATATATATATAATCAGNTATATATATATAATGTCCTCGTAGAACGTTGGCGATCCGTAGCCTGTACTGATTTCGATCTAAAGCTATTCTCAATAGATCAGCTGTGTTCGCTGCGGACCATTGGCGTATGTTAAGCCAGAATTTTTTCTACGCCCTGGGCCACGCTTTCCATCTATTTTTCCTTGAAGGATAACCTGCAGCAGATGATATTTCGTATTGCGCATTATGTGTTCAAAATATTTTAATTTTCTTCCCTTTATGGTATTGAGGATTTCTTTTTATTCATGCGCTGTAATACAGCCACATTATTGACTCTGGCTGCCCAAGGTATCTTCAGAATTCGTCTGTACGCCCACATTTCGAATGCTTCCAGCTTCCGGCATAATGTGTCTGTAAGGGCCCAAGTTTCAACTCCACATAGAAGTACACTGAAAACATAGGGTCGAAGTATTCGAGTACGAAGCCTGATAGATAAGTCCCGGTTTGTCAAGACTTTCCTCATTTTCTGGAAGGAATTTTTAGCTTGTTCAATTCCACAACCGATTTCGCATGCAGGGTCCCAGTTACACTTGACATAGCACCCCAAGTATTTATAAGATGTTACTCTCTCAATTATCTCAGTATCTCACTGTCAATCTTGAGAAGGTTCTGTGAACCATTTTGTTTTTTTTACTGATAACCATCCATTTTGTCTTCTTCACGTTAAGTCGTCATCCCATGTAACTGATTTCTGTAGCAACAGAATCCAACAATCCTTGTAAATCTGTATCTCTCTCTCATATATATATATATATTGGAGTCCTGTTTCTGTAAGCTAGCTGGACAAGACCGAGGTCCACAACAGAGAAGTAGGTGATTTTCATGAATGTATTCAAACGAGTTCATTTTTGAAACAATAATTTATTGTTTTACTTATCCAATGCCATATCGACCAAATAAGTAGCTTTTAAAAGTTTTTAATATTGCCGATCTTGTGTTTGATGTTTGATAAAATTAAAGTTGTTAAGAAAAATCGAGATAGTACTAATAATTAAACGAAATTTAATGTTTAAGTGGAGGAAATGCTGTCTGACAGATTTTCCTTCCAGGGATAACCAGTTCTATATTTATGAAAAAATCACAAACGCAAAGAAGAAAGGTGAAATCATTTTCGAGATCAATATATCCAAAAGGATGCAATATATTAAGTTGTGTATTCCGGCATTATAAAACTACGCTATAAGCCTTTGCTGTAAAGGTACAGATAGAGAAGCGGTGTATAGTATGTGGTGCCATGAATCAAGGGCAATGAATGGGGGAGGTCGGGCGCCCTTGTAAGAGGGCATTAAGTCAAATCTATGTACGGACAACGCACTGATTTATCCACAAGTCACCACAAACCCGCCTTTGGGGGAGGATTTAATTATGTCCGGCTGCCGTCTACCTAGATTTGTGGTTTTGTCAGGAACGGGGATGCCGTTTATCTAATTTAAACTTATTCCGATACACGGTGGCGACTCCTGGGTGATTTACGCGGCTAGGCAGCCGTTTAACTTTCCACCACTGTTCTAGACACAGCAATAAATCGGCAAATCGATGTGCTCTTCTATCTGTACGACTTAATTACATTGCTTTGTTCACTTTATTATTTATTAGGTAAACTATTTCGATTTGAAAGCCGTTAGAAAGATATATGTCTACCCAAACAACCTGACAAATATTTTGTAGGAGAGACTCACAGTTAAATTCTAATTTTATAAAACCCGGAACAGCATACTTAGATAAAAAATACTTTAGTAAAAAATCAATTTAGAAAAGTTTAATTAAAGCCTTGAATATTTTACAGTCATCTCAAGCGTAAGTAAAATACAAACAAATCACATTTCTAGATTTGAAAATATGATGTGCGGCCCAAATCTCGTGTAATATCAATACAGTTTGGGGGGAGGGAAGCATTATCGAATGCGCGATGCAGCGATGGTTTCAAAGATTTCGATCTAGGAGGCAGGGAATGTCGCGGTAAGCTTGTGTTGTTGACGACGACCATCTGAAAACGTTGATTGACGAAAATTCACGTGACACAAAGAGGGAAATCGCGGAAGAGCTTAGTGATGACTCGACCGCTGTTCGTCATTTGAAGCAAATTGGTAAAGTAAATAAGTTCGACAAGTGAGTACGGCACGAACTAACTAAAGCCCAAATAAATCGACACTTTGAAATTTGCACTTCTCTTCTGTCCCCTCCCCCGAGGGTTTGCAACAGCAGAGGTTATATCAAACCTCGGGGTGCCGGTGCTTTTGAAAAAAAGCCCATTTGTAAGTATGTCGTGTTCGAATGCAGGGCCGCTGGATTGGAACTGCATTCGAACCCGGGACCTTTACCTTACAGTGATGAGCGCCCTGTCAACGCCTGAACCGTTGCGGCCACCGACGCCCCCTACTTCTCTTCTGTTGCACCACGAAAAAGATCCATTTCTCGATTGAATCATCACGTGCGAAGAGAAATGGATTCTGTACGATAACAGGAAAGTGCATGTCAGGGTTGGACAAGGATGAAGCGCCAAAACACTTCCCGAAACCAAATATGCACCCAAAAAAGGTTATGGCGACTGACTCTTTTGTGATGTACTGCAGGGTTTGTTCACTATTATTTCCTGAATTACGGTGAAACTACTACAGCAGAGAAATGTTGCTAAGAAATTGACAAAATGTTCGGAAATCTGGGAATTTTTGCCATCGTAAGGGGCCGATTTTTCTTCACGATAACGCCAGACCACATGTTGCAAAGCCAAACGTGCGAAAACTTAAGGACTTAGGATATGAAACCTTACTGCACCCGATCTCCCGCTAAAGACGTCCAATTTTTTAGGAACTTGATAATTTCTTGATGGATAAAATTTTTAGAGATCGCGTTGAAGCCGAAAACGCCTTGCAAGACTTTATTGTGAATAAAAGCTCATTACACGGTGGCAAAGATGGATAGATTGTGATGAAAAATATTTCGCATAAAATTTCCTTATTTTATAAACACTAAAAACAGTTTTGACGGCCGTTTCCAATCCTGCATTTTTTTTCACCAGCCCAACTAATAATTGTTTAAAATGACCGATATATCTTATTATTTTACATTTTATTTTTCCGTCCTACATTTTCTAATTTTAAATATTGTTATGGACATTTGGCTTTAAATAAACAACCAAATTGATTTTTACGGTCTAAAGAATAGAAGTTTTAAGCTATGTTCTGGCAATAATTTTGTAAAATTAAAGTTTAGATATGTCAAACTTGAAATACATCAATAGTAATCATTATTGCAAAAAGGTGAAAGCTCAATGAATGCAGACATGATTATAATTTTTTCACGGTTTTCTAAGTTGGAAAAAACTACGCAACAACATCTTATTTCTAATTATTATTTAATGTTTGTTTTTTAAAACCACTATTGTATCATCAGGATAACACCCGTTTTGTACAACTTGATGAATTAATTGTGTATGATTTTTTCCGCTTTGCCTGCTGTGAAGCCTTGCTGTTTTCCTTGTCTTCTCCTTCCGAATTGTTACAAAATTCCTTTTCTTGACGGGTCTTAAGGACCATTATAAGGGTGATGGTGAGCTCTTGGCTAGCCCAAACAACGTGCTCATTTGCGCCTTGTAGAAGTGTCCCCGCCTCATTAGTATTCTAGTAACTGGGAGGAATAAAAACATCTACTGTAAACATACCGAAATAATAATAAAAGAGGGCAAGCACTAAGAGCCTGCAACAACAAGGACAATATATTTCTAAGTGAAAGGTCGGGAGAGAGAAAAAAAAATGCGAGACTTCATTTGTTTTAAAACCGGGAACCTAAAACGAGGCAAACGGAGCAGACCCTACCCGCAACACAGGTCTGTCGTACGTTCTGAAATTTACGGCGCGTTCTCTATCTGCATTCTGCTGAGTACCCAGTGTACAATCATTTATAAATAACATTGGACTCAATTGTCCGAGTATTATAAATGTTAAACGATGTCATTAATAGCATTTACAGAAAGGATCGATGGAGGAGAGGCTAATTTCCAAAATAATTTCTACCTTGATAAATAATATATTATTTAAATATATATCACTTATCAAGTTTTAATTGATTCCCTTAAACCAAAAACATTATGCATTCATGTTACCTTTCTCGTCCACGTGATTTTCGGCACAGGGTTACCGGATGCTCTGCACTCTAGAGTAATTGGTCCACCCTTTTTAACTTCGACTGGCTCCATCGATGTCAACTGGTGAATTCTGGGCGGAACTGAAAAAAAAATAACAAAAATAAAATAAAAATATAAATAAAATAGGTGTATATATATACAGCTATTTAATTTTTTATATAATATGTTGATCAAATTTTGCAAAAACATGAGTTTGATTGTTTGATTAACTGTATTTTCTACAATTTCAAAAAAGGTAACATCACATAAATATAACACATATAAAACACAACCAAATATAATAAGCAAAACAGTATACTAACACACAAAAATGTCAAACCACAAAATTGACCATAAATATGGAAATTATCGCGGGCTACATTTTTCTATCCGGCTCAACTATTGGGGTTTTTCTTTGAAATGACTGCATTTATGCAAACAACAACAATGCATTAGGGGCGTCGGTGGCCGCAACGGTTTAGGCGTTGACCCGGCGCTCATCACTGTAAGGTAAAAGTTCCGGGTTCGAATCCAGCGGCCCTGCAATCGAACCCGACATACTTACAAATGGTTTTTTTCAAAAACACCGCCACCCTGAGGGTTCATATGACCTCTACTGTTGCGAACCCTCGTTAAAAAAAAAAAATGCACTCATAACGAGTTGATTATTCCGTGATTATCCCCTGCTATCATTATATTCAATAATATTTATAAACAATTTATCTTTTCGGTGTATATATTCTTCATCTTTTATGGTTCAAACGAGGAGTGCAATGTTAAATCGTTTTATATATGCTATATGTCAAATAGCAACACTTGAGCGCAGCATAAATAGCCGTGAGCATGAAGAACAATTAATGTACAAGTAGTTTTAATTCATGGAATAATTGAATAAACTTAGTACTCAGCCGATACATTACTGTAATTATGATTTCAGACAATGTGTTCAATTTGCAACTCTTTAAAAGTACATTTTACTTAGTAATTAATTACTTTAATCAACCACAGTAGATTACCGTCTTTACATTTTTCTTTAACATCATTAGATTAAGTAAAGTTAAAATTTTATCCATCAAGTTCTAAAAAAGTTGATTGATAAAATCACTACACTATCACGCCAATTAAAATTACTAATGTATATAAGCTTAGCTCTGCTGCCATATATGTACAGCCACCTAGGTCTTATCCGTCCAGCCGATTAAGATTTAAATTTAGATGTAAATATGTAAATGTAAATACATTCTCATTCACTTACAAATGGATTCTTTTCTATTTACCATTCACTCAGTTAGGGTGGTGGATTACTTGGTATTCTTCCATCACCCTCCACACATATTGCATAACTAATGTACTGGAGGGACGAGTAAAATTAAACCGTGAAAAACGTAAAATTTGACGTGTTCGAAAATTGGATTGAAGCTAAAATGTAATAGGGAATATTTCTTAAAGAAGAGCTAAAATATTTTAGATAGATATTTTGTTTATGAATTAGGTTTGGCAGGATCTATATTCTCTTACTTTGCTTCAGTTTGACGAGTTTTGACAATACGCCAATATCAATGATGGAGACGAGCGAGAATACATGGACATTTACGATGAGGTCAAGCTAAGGTCAAATGTTCATTGGCGACCAATCGGCTATGCTCACTTACACAAACAATACTAGCAGCCAAAAGGATGAAGGTAATAGTGTTAGAAAACAATATTCTTACCTCAGTAGTAATATTAAATATGATTATTAAAATCTTGTACATTTACAAGGATAAATATTACCATTAAAATATATACCACTTTAGACTTTAAGTAAACAATTTATATACAGCTTTTATAAATTTTACATTCCAACTGAATAAAATTCAGACGATTTTGTTAAAACTTTAAAAATTCATACTTTTAATTGGCTGTTAGAAATAGAATTTTTTGTCAAACGTCAAATATAAACAATTTTTTAGATAATTTAAATATCTAAATCTTTATAAGAAACATACTTTTCAACATTATTTTACAATGATATTTTTATGTTTTAATTAAAAACATAATTACATGTGTACGAATAAAATTTGTAGTTGACATAAGAAGAAAGTTTTAAAAATAAGCACATCCTGAAAAAACATTGCGCGAATTTGATCAGCTGACCGATTGGATAGGAACAACCTCACACGTTATTAACTGATTTCTCTCCGACCAAACACCATCATATGTTAAGGAATATATTTGGAACACTTTTTCAGCTAGTACTAGCTTGTGTATTATATACGATATACACATATATGACATATTTATAATTTTACATATAAATATAATAAATGATTCAAACATACCTAATATATTTATGATGTAATAATATATATTAAATTACACATACAGTGTTGTCTACACGGCTTATATACGGTACTCGAAAATAATAAAAAAGACCATATTATATTTTCTTAAACTTTTTATTGAGATTTCGAATTTGACGTCCAGTTACCTCTGTTTTTTGCTTTGCGACGTGTTATCAACCCGGAAACCTTTGGAGGCAGGTTCACAAATTACTATTTGGGGTATTTCCTGGTTCCCCGTTTTACAAACGATAACTTTCGGTAGGTCGGCTTCGTTGATCCTTCTGAACTTGACTTGCCCTGGCGGTCCCAATTGTCTGCTGCTCACGGCTTTAAGGCCCATCATATTTTCCATATCTTTTGTAATTTGTACGAACTCGTCCATTTTCTGCATGAGCAGGGCCTGCTTGGCCTTGATGAGATTGATATCTTCTTTGGATGCATATGGTTTTTTTGCAAAAATGGCAATTTCTCTACGGAGTTGATCAACTTCGACGCCTGCAGCCCTCGCTCTGTCGCCAGTTTCCCGTAATCTTTTCAGAACAGACAACTGCGATTCGGTTGCCATTAGCGGTTCTCCCTCTCCTACCGGTTCGGTTTCAGATTTTTCTGCCTGTATTTCTACAGACTTTTCTACCCGTTTGTCTGGTAACCTTTCTACTGATTTATCTGCTCGTTTTTCTGATTGCCTTTCTGCAGATTTATCTGCTCGTTTTTCTAATTGCCTTTCTACAGATTTATCCGCCTGTTTTTCTGATTGCCTGTCTACAGATTTTTCCGAACGTTTGTCCACTTGTCTTTCTGCAGATTTATCAGCACGTTTTTCAACCTGTTTTTCAACAGATTTTTCTGACTGTTTGTCTGCTACTTTTTCTACAGATTTTTCCGACCGTTTGTCTCCTACTTTTTCAACAGATTTTTCTGTAGATTTTTCTACTGATTTTTCTACAGATTTAGTTGCTGCTTTATCTTCAGGTTTTTTACTATCTGCTTTAAGCGATTTGGGGGTTTTGCTCCCTTCTTTGCTTCGGGACTGCTCTTTTTTTATAGAAAGAGCATCTTGGGCGGTCTCGCCAGTTTTTGTATCTTTTGACTTTTCCCGCTCTAATTCTGGTTTGAACTCTTCTGTGGTGGCCGGCTGCGACGCTTCTGAAACTGCACTCGATGTTATCACCAATTGTTCGTCTGATTCTGCACGTTGTTCTGCCTTCCCCTTTCCACCTCTTTTTGGTTTCCTAGATTGTTTTCCGTCTTCCTCGGGTTGTTCTTTTACCCCTTTTTTAGATTTTTCAGCTGGCTCTTTAGGTGCTTCTTCTTTTATCTTGCCTCTTTTACCTTTAGCGGTGGGGGCCGGTTCTTCTTTAACTTCTTCTTTTTCTTCGACGGGCGGATCAGTTTTAGGAGACGCTATTTCTTTTTTACCTTTTTTTCCTTTGTCTTTCTTTTTATCTTTTGAGTCGTCTGGGGTAGTAAGGGCTGTTTTCGAAGACGTCTCCGGGATTTCTAGCTTTAAGTCTGTCGCCAAACCGTCCTGGTTTGGAGCAGAAGCCTTTTTGTCCGAACGTTTGTTCGATACAGCCGGTCCAGCGGGATCCGTGTCTGCCATTGCTCAGGATTTAATCAAGAACTTCATACCTAAGCGGGATGACACCCGACAGAAGTAAGGACTATTATCGAATCTCACATTACACGCAGCCTGAAAAATCTAACTCATGATTTTTTTTAATAATATTTATCATGTGTCGTTTTATAGATCACGTGGTCATGCTTAAAAACGTGTTGATTTTTTAAATGTTTAGGAACAGTACATATATTAATCTAAAGCGATTATTAACAGTCGCTTGTAAAATTATTATTAAAATATTTCCAGTAAATAAATTGAACAATATGGATCCACAAGACAAGCAAAATAATGTTTTGATTATTTCAGAAATAATGGACACCTCTGCAATAAAATGCGAAACTATTTTTTTACAGGCATTGCCCCATTACTAGAAAGAAAATGATATGGGAGAAGTTGGAATAAAAGCCAAATTGTGTTTTTGGCAATAAAATCTTCTCCGTTGGTATAGTGAAAGTATATGTATTGAAAAAGTTTTCGAAAGCTCGCTTGTTTCCTAACCTATATACGGTGGATAAGTAAAGTAAGAGCGAGGGGGTGCCGCTTGCAGGCTGAGTGGAGGAGACGATTTGCCGAGAAATGGGGTGGTTTCGCCCTGAATCTTTGTGTACGCCAGTAAATAGCCGAACCGCCATCCGGCCACTTTCCCGGACCCGGTGGTAACCGGCGAAGGACATTTTAATATTTCACGCCATGGCACTTTTCGAATCGTTCCTTACATCCGAGATCCTGGTATAAGGACATAAAAACACTCTTTGGGCCTGCTGTGACGACTTTAAAAACACCGCCATAGCTGCAGCCATTTTTACTTTATTGCCTGTGATGTGGAAGAAACGAATTGTCATCGCTGAACGATACAGTCAACGATTATAAAATATTCCGTTAGTATTGATACAAAGCAAACTGTATTTACAATAAAACCAGTATCAAACACTGCAGTGACATAATTTCAGGGCTGTTGACCATACCTAGTTTTAGGTATTGTTAAATAAGTTTTTTTGACAAAATTTACTTTATGTATATATATNAAATAATAAGTATATGTATAACTTTATGTATATTTAATTACAAAATTTTCTAAATATCTAAATCTAATATCTATCTAAATTCTATCATAATAGTTTATTAGCATCTTATTTATTATAAAATACACTACTAGTTTCGAAGCTCGATTGGTGGCTTCCTTTTCAAGTGTTTCGTTGAAGATTAAATGTTTCTGTTAATTTGTATTTGTCTTATTTTTGGTTTACATTTCCACCAATTCGTTCCCAATATCTCAATCCGAAGCGTGCTCGATCCTTTTTCGCGTCCCTGAAGTCCTACCTCCGCATTTCCTTTTTCTTTTTTTTGGGGGGGGCATTTGAAAAGGCGTCGAAACTAATAGTGCATTTTATAATAAATAAGGTGCTAATAAACCATTATTCAAAACCAGTATTGAATTTAATGATATTTTTACTATAGAATTATTACAATATTAACTTCACTGCCTCACTGAATCTTAGAAAAACGTTCTATTAATATGTTAAAACAACACAGTATAAGATATTTGAATTCGGTCGTTACCGAACATTGGAATATGTCTCTCTCTATTCCTTTCGTCATTTTCAATATTCAATGATGTCTGAGAGATTTCTGTCAAGTCTCCTTCTATCTATTATAGGTAGAGACAGGTGAGGTGCCAATGTTAGTTGAAATCCGGGTTTTTTATCGTCCCGCGCAATGGTTCTGTCTGCAGGTTCAAGCGTTAATTGCTTGTATATTTTTTCCAAATTTTCTAATATGTCTGTTCATTTTGTTGTACTTTTTGTACATCGTGTTTCCTGCTTATTTGAATGGTTGAGGGCACTGAAACAAGTGCTTGCCAGAAACGTAGTTTCATATTTGAAAATGAGTGGAGAATTAATCCTCAATTTAATGCGATCTTATCCCATGACAGAGGCGTGGAAAAAGTTCATCAATACAGTTCACACACCGAAACGAACGGCTGCTACACCCAGGATGTGTTAGAACTAGATTTGTAGTTGGACGGCTGATAGAACAATGCAGACTTTTGATGCATATGTACAGACGCGGAGGAGAAGAATGAATTCTGTGTAGATATTTGCCAAGAAGAAGAAGCAACAGCGGAACCGGTTCTCTGTTGGAGCGAAGGCCAGATTCGTATTACTCCGGAAGAGAAAAGCATTAAGCTTTGGTATCTGATAAAAAACTTTATGGGCAACGAGAGCAAACCAGTGCGTAAAGCCGGGAACACATCCGATGCCACACTTTCCTGATTTTCGTCGGGTCGCATCGAGTACAGACGAAGACAAAAGAACCGGACACTTATATTTTTATTAAAACTACATGTATTATTGTCGTTGTATTAATTACAACACACTTATTTTTATATAAACCACATTAACCGAGATTAAAAATTCATAAGTTTTTATAAAAATTATTTAATTATGATGGTTAGGAAAAAAATTATCAAAACACGGGAATAACTTCATTTAAAACAATTAAATTTAACTAACAATTTATTACATGGTTCTACTCACAAAATTTAACTAACAATTTATTGCATGGTTTTGCTCAAAATAATGCAATAAGAACAAAAGAAGCACGTTGGGTGGCTGTGGCGTGCGCTTGACGCATAGATGTGCACACCCTACCAAAACGTTGCACGGCGTCCGGTAGCATCGGGTAGCGTCGCATAGCGCTGCATCAGGTAACTGTGTTCCCGGTTTAAGGTTGTAAAGACGCCAGCTTCAAAGAAAAGAAAAATAAGTCGAGGAATGGTATCACCTCGCTGGCCTTTCACCGAGACATGTTAACAAGGAACAAGGAAAGAGAGGGGATTTTAAATCCATGTGCTTCTTTCTTCTTCACAATAGTATCAATGAAAGCATTGGAAACACAAGCACTGTCACCAAGACCAGAGAGGGCAAGATACATATGGTATGTCGGGGCGAGAGAAAGAGAACAACTGATATCATTAAAAACACTTGCAGGATATGGCAGCGTCAATGACATCAAAGAAGGCCTTGGGTGCGTTGAAATTAGGAGGATGAATATCGGTTGGAAAAATTGTCTCCTTGGCTAGACTAAACCTTTGACACACCAAGGTGCCCAGAGAAATAAGACCGGTCTTCTAAAGGTAAAGGTTCGACCCTACATCCCTAGTCGCCAGAGATGCTATAGGTACAAAGATTCGGACACATATCCCTGCGTTGCAAGTCGCCGCATGAAGTGTGATACTGCAATACACCTGAACAAATCTGAATGGCCGACCCGACCAGAATTGAGAATTACGGCAGCAGTTTTTGGGTAAGAAAACAGTTTACATAATTTTTCCTTAAAACCATCTATACCCGTATTCTGAGGCTACGCAAGTTGTGGGCAGATCGAACAAGCACCCGAATGGGCCGGGTGATCACCTCCAAAAGTTGAGGATTGCACTCACTTGGTACATACAGGTTTGTTTTTCAATAGGATACATGATTTATGATACAAGATAATTTTGAATTCACCTTTCATCACCGGTGAGAAACTTGTTAACAATGTGTATAAAAAATTAAATGGTGAACCTATGTAAGTAATAACGAGAAAATTTAATAGAGGATTGATTGTTTTTCCCGGTAATTTGAAATCTGGCAGTTTTAATAGTTTTATTATTTTACAAAAGTTTTAAACAACCAAACAAAATACAAAAGTTTAAGTTTGTGTTCTTTAACAGATTGGAGTTGTACTTTCTGAATTTTAAAGAATTGCTAATGAGAATGAATAACCCCTGGTACGCGCGGATGAAAATGAACGATGGACTTTGAATTGTTATTTAATACAGTAACATTAAGCAAAAATATTGAAACTGGTATCCAGTACATAGAAAAGTAATCCTTTCAATGAATAAATAATTCAAGCAGAAGAAGTGCTTAAATGAAACTTCGGGCTCAACCGTGAAGCCAAATATAATAGATAGGGTGATGAGTAAGGAAACGAATATTTATCGTGAACAACCCAACCACAGGCCGACGTAGCCTGTATTCAATGCCTATCCTCTCGTGGTTTGAAACTGAATAAAACATCCCCTAAGGATCCTGCAGTATTGATTGTATAGGTTCATTAGTTTGACCTCCTTAGGGTTTAAGCTTCTAAAGCTCCCTTTTAAGATTTTGTCGCTGAGTTTGAAAGAAACTTCTTTGACCGAACGGGGGACTATCTTAACGCAAGGACCTGCCTGTCAAATGAACAAAATGTTTTTACTCTTAAATGAATGAAAATTAGTAAGGCTACCCTGGTTTAGTCAGCTCTTTTCATTGTAGTCAGCATATTTTTGTTAGCTTCTGTTTTAGTCGTTGGTGTTTCGGCTTCTCGCTCTATTCAGTAGTGGGTCCGTGTGATTTCTCTTTAGTCACGTCCCTTTTATAAGTTCGTTAAAGGTGAAAGGCCTGTGTCAGTATTATCTTTGTTTGGACGGATTAATTACGTGTTTTGTTATTGTTACGGTCTGTCCTTATGAGAGTTGGTCCTTTTCTCCTTAAATTTAATTTATTTTCTTAACCGGTATAAATGATGGGTATCAATTGTACAGTAAATCTCACAATTTATCTAGCAGGCCTTAACAACAGTTGTTTGGAATATTGCTCTTTAGTTTAGCCACATTTCTACAATTTTTCCATTTTAAATAACGAAAATGTACAAAAGAAATCGATAAATATTATAAGCTTCAGACTTTTTACTATTTAAACAAACCTCATAGCTTTTTTAACTTGCTATTTTTTATCTCAACCAAGACCTTAGAAAAATAATTAATTGATTGAAAGAAATAACTTGATAAATTGACTACGAAAACGTAAATGGATTGATTTTAATGTACCTCTTCCTTCCCTAAAACGTAACACCATTTTTCATATACCTTACGCCACACAAAACTATCAATTCAATAGCCCTTCCTTACGACTTATGGGGTCAGGAAACGCCTCTTTCTCTCGATTTTCATAACCCCTTATTATTATTTTTACCTTACAAACCACGGATCAGACAATATTTTTTTATCCAAACATCCATTTGTATACATTTTTCTACTAATTTTATTTTTGTACTATTTTATAATATTACTATTATATTTTGAATGCCGTATTTTTAAGGATT